TTAAAAATAAATCAAGGAAAGCTTTTTTTTCAGCTGATTATGATCACCCGAGTTCTTCAAGTTTTATTCTAAATAATAACACTGATAAAGGCTTTTGTTGTTTTGTGCAGCTCTTTGGGCAAAAGCAAGTGAAGACTGACTTAAATGTTTCAGTTGCAATCAGTGGGCATGCGAAGGATGTTTTGGAGTTGATACACGTGCAAATTGTGCGCTGAGAACATATAAACGTCTTGTAAATTCTTAAATAGTCATAGCAGTGATATAATTATTGTTATTGCTTTAACGTGCTATTTTTTGCGGTTATACGGTTTTCATTTATGCCAAAATCATTATTTGATATTTTTTAGAAAAAAGGTTAACTATTGATGTCCTTTTAGATTTTTTTTATTTCAATTCACCTCCTCAAGGTGAATTAATAAAAAAAATCAAGGTCATGAAGGCCACTGCAGTCGAGGAGGTTACTTTAGTTATGGTTACAACCTTCTCTCAACTCTATAACTACCAAACATGAACCTTGACGATCAAGGCCACTGCGCGGAGAAACAAGTTAAGTGCGGTACTACCAGGGACGCGGTGGGAATCGAACTCGCAACTTCTAGGTTTACTATTCTAGATTAGAGGAATCATCCTACTGTGACCTCAAAAATGTTTTATGTCAAATTTTTTTTTTCCTTGGTAAGCTGCTTTTAGCACTAGAAAGGAATTTCGTCTATCACCCGCGTGACGTATTTTTCAATTAGTTTAGGTGTACTGATGAATTCGCCCCGTAATTGACGAATTTGCCCCTCATGACTTAATGACGAAAAAATCAAGTTATACTCTAAAGTAACTTTAGAATTTATTTTGATTCAATGCATTAACAAAGTAAAGACCCTAATTAATAAAAAAAAGTTTTTAAACTAGAAAAGTTAACTTATTTATATGCGAATTCGTTTTGTTAAAGTAAAACATGATGAACTCGCCCCGCCTCACCCTTCATTATCTTGAAAAATGTTTACTGTAGGTAAAGTTTGGGCACAGTGGATTGCATTTTGAGAAAATTTTAAAATATGTATTTTATTTTTTTCAAGGCCAAAGGATTGAAATGTCCTTCATGATAATAAATCACTAAAACCAAAATATTTATTAACGGTTCACAGAAAGGTTTAAAGTGTTATGTTATTCACTGAGCATCAGTTTTGGGGCACAGTGAATAAATGAACACAGCCGTGAATTAATGATAGCGAATAGGAGCATAACCAAATAACTTTGAGGCTGAGGGAGTAAAGACACTGTATATTATACTTTGGACTTTAATTAATTAGATTAGTATAAAATCAAAAAAATAGACATTTTAAAGCGGGAAAGAAAAAAAATGAATTTTATTGATTACAAAAACTATATAAATATTTAAAAATAAAAATTTATTCAAATATTATTATTCATAACTTAAAAATTTAATCTTTAAGATCATTAATGGAGCATCAACCTATGCACTGTACCTTACTTCACTGTGCCCCACCATGGCAAATTAAGTTCAGGTTTTTGAGACATAAATGTTTTTAAAAGAAAAGCTAAACTACTAAAAGGAAGCATAAATATCAATAATCCGAATGAAAAAATTCAACTTTTAAAATTATTTCAACCATGATCTCCATTACAAACATAAGGACGGTAATTTACTTTAGTTAGCTAAAAACAAAAATCACCTCCCAAAAATTAGAGTTAAAAATTATGTGGTAACAACTATAAATAAAGATGACTGATATATGAGCACATAAAATGATTACATTATCAAGATAAACAAAGTTCAAATCTTTGAGAAAATACAAATTATTCATTGTGTGCCTTGATCTACTGTACCCAAATTTCTTTTAGGCACAGCAAATTTAAATTTTTTATTACGAAATATTTTTCATAAAACAAGAAATACGTTTCTTATTTTAAGAAATAAATATCTTACCTTGCAATTTATTTTTAAAAACAAGAAATTTATTTCTTGTTTTGAGAAATCGCGTCAGGTAGGAAGGAGGCGTGAACTTCCTGGCTAAATGCACTTTCGCGGTGCTCTGTGACAAGACCATTAGGTCTTCTTGGGAACCTAAAATATAAAATAAATAAAAATATTAATAATAAAAATAAATTTCTTAAACTATGATCAATTGATTTACGATTTTTCTGTGAGTTCTGATAAGTTGTTACCAACTTTGAAAGATTTTTAAAGTTTTTGAATTTATTGTATCCAAAAAGTCTAAGGGAGTCTCATTCGTAGACATTTTTTCAAACTATAAACAAGAATATCAAAATTTATCCAGTCGTCTAGTGAAACATACAACTCAAGACCTAGTGGCTGGTCTTTATCAATAAAAACTGCTTTCAGAAGGATTTCAGTTTTGATTCTATCCGTTTTTACATCTTTTTGGACTTCCATTTGTTTTTGAATACAGAACTTTTTACCATTTTTTTATTGTGATCACGGTCATAAGATGCTAACACCTGTACCAAACACCTCTATAGTTTTACCTTTGTATGAATTTCACCTCCGCAGCAGGCTCATTATACACAAGGAGTTATAATAGCGTAGCTGGAGAGAGAACGAAGTTAAAACACGTCATTTCTCAAAGAACAGTTTTAGTAATAACATAATTTTCAATTAAACACCGCGGAATTATCATAATTTAAATTGACCAATCACATTCTACTTTTAACAAAAGCTATCCAATGATATTGTTTCAAAACGTTATAAGCAATTAAAGCATTGTAAATAAAAAAATGGAAGTTTAAAAAATTCTTAAACAATATTTCAAGTCAGTTTGCTGTTATTTTTTTGTTGTGCTTTTTGAACGTCTATTAATAGATTTCTAGATTAGAATTGAATTAATAAATGTCTAGATAAGAATTGGTAGTATTTTTGCCAAGTACTTTATATCTCTTTATATTTTTGCCATGTTTTTTATATTTAGAATAATATACATCAGCCAATAGTCTTGATATACATCAGCCAATAGTCTTGATATACATCAGCCAATAGTCTTGATATACATCAGCCAATAGTCTTGTTATACATCAGCCAATAGTTTTAATATACATCAGCCAATAGTTTTAATATACATCAGCCAATAGCCTTGATATACATCAACCAATAGTCTTGATATACATCAGCCAATAGTCTTGATATACATCAGCCAATAGTCTTGATATACATCAGCCAATAGTCTTGTTACACATCAGCCAATAGTCTTGATATACATCAGCCAATAGTCTTGTTACACATCAGCCAATAGTCTTGATATACATCAGCCAATAGTCTTGTTACACATCAGCCAATAATCTTGATATACATCAGCCAATAGTCTTGTTATACATCAGCCAATAGTCTTGATATACATCAGCCAATAGTCTTGCTGATCTTGAATTAAAAATAATGCAATGTGGATAAAATAAGATTTAAAATGACACTGCTAAAAACTTATTAAATTTAATTTTGACAAGATAAAATCGAAATGCTATTTTTATCGATTTAATTTTTATTGTATTTCTACTAATTTAAAAAAAAAGTCTGTCATTGGTAAAAAAAAATTGGTTAAGAGTTATTTTTATTGAATTTTACATCACATTTTAAACCATTTTGCAAGCCATTGTTTTTAAACAATTTGTAACTTTACGGCATAAATTATTCTTAAAAAATAAGACTAAAATATAAAAACTTATGAAATTAGGTTTTGCTTTAAAAATTGCATAATCAGAAAAGTCGCAGGTCAAAAACCGCGATGCCCTGGAGAGAGAAATGTAGTCAGCCATTCTATTGATCTTTTTAAGTATTTTATTAGTCAAAATAAAAACCTGCCTGATTTTAGAGTAATGCAACTTGAATTTCATGAAATTTAAGGCGTATAAAACAGCCCTATATTTGTTAATTTTCACCAAATGGTCTAACTTTTTCCCGTATTTTATTGGTATATATTTTTTACAAATATATACAAATGTAAATAATTTTAAAATTAGAAATTTATACATTTTGTTTTTACAAAAATTTATTTTAAAGTGAAGTAGATTTATCTTACTATTTTTAACCTTTTATGGTTTTACGATATAAATAGTTTATTCACCGGCAGATTTACAGTTTATTCACCGGCAGATTTATTTACGGCTACGACTATATGGAGCTCTCCGACAAGAAGGCAGGAGGTTATTAAAAATAATGGTCGGCCAGGAAACTTCCCAAGCAGCAAACAATATTGGCGCAATATTGGCGCGACATTGTCTATAATATTGGCGCAATATTGTAAACTATATCGCGCCAATATTGCTATGTCAACATTTTGCCAATATTGGCCAATATTGGCGGTACAATATTGCGCCAATATTGTTAAGTCAATATTGGCCAATATTGGCAAAATGTTGACATTACAATATTGGCGCGATATCGTTTACAATAATGGCACAATATTGTAAATACAATACTGGCCAATATTGGCGTAATAAAGTTATATTGTTTTTAGTGTTAAACAATAAAATGTTATTTTTTAAAATTTTTTTAATTTATTCGCCAGAATATCTACAAGGTAAATTTATATTGAATATATTACCGGCAGGGCTTCTAGAAGATCACAGTTCTATCTAATATGTAAAATAAATACAAAAAAAGTGGGCATTTAAATGGGTCAAAAATACAACACAATATTCTATCTAATATGTAAAATAAAAAAATAAAAAAATTATATATAAATAAATACAATGTTCTATGTGATATAATATATTATATCAGGTAGAACATTTTATATTTTTATATTTATATATACTTTTTGTATTTATTTTATATATTTGATATAACATTTTATTTATTAAATTTGAAGATAGAACAAGATAATACAGAGGGGATGAATTGTTTAACCCGAAAGAATAATGCAGCCTATAGTCTATACTATATTTTTGTATATAGTTTAGACTATAATTGTATATAACTTGAGTTATAGTCTAGAAGGCGATAATAATCTAGGAACGCTTTGAAAAAATGAGACTTTTTAAAATCTAATAATAAATTTATCAGAAGTTATATTAAACTGATACAAATGAATATATATATATATATATATATATATATATATATATATATATATATATATATATATATATATATATTACAGCGTTACACTCTCACTATCAGATAGTGGGCATTGATTTTCATTATCTTGGCGACATTCATTTTCATCGCTCAATAGTGGGCTTTGCTCAATTGCGGTTCTATTCTTTCTTCCGTCTTCTCTATCAATGGCCGTTGCCAGAAAGCTGCCGATTCTTTCTTTAATGCTTTTGTCATTAGCGTTTTCAAATTTTTGTTATGGCAGCTGCAAACAAATTTTAAGTTGATAATGTTAAACAAGACATGAACAAAATGTAATCAAAAATTATCAAACTTATTATTTCAACTAAATACGAAGATAAATAATTAAATAAATTATCTATAACCATCTTGCACCTTGTAAGAGGCGAAAATGATTTCTTTTGTTTCCTGCCATACATAGAGTATAACAAGCATACTTTTTTAGCCATTAGTTGTTTTAAGATAGCCGTGGTAAGTTGCTTGTAATCGTCGCCTCCAACCGATGCAAGGAAGTTCATCTAAAACAAAAAAAAAAACAAAAAAAATCGAGTTTGTTTATTATTATATTCAAAAATATATAATTGGTTGTAATAAAAGTTTAATGGTTCTATAAATGTGTGTATTTCGAACAGGTTTCCATAATGTTACAACTTCATTATCTATAATGAGATATTCAAATATGAAACGGAGAAAAAGCAATTTGTTACAAATAGATGCAATCTCTGAGGTCAACCTGTTTTGGTGATCAAGACTTATTGTCATAAATGTTTTATAAAGTGATAAAAACACTAGGAAGAATACCACACAAAATTTTATACAGGTTTATGAGCTTCTCATACCCCTACTAATAATTACACAATATATTGTGTAAAAAATCTGATACTATAGTATCAGATTTTTCATTCACTAGCATAGGTTGTCTTTACAACAGCAAAAAAATCAGGGTAAATGCAATTTCAAATATCTAATGTGAGGCTTCCTATGATTAGTAGACTCATTGCTCTACTAAATGAGTTAACTGGGCATAAATGGTTAAAACCACAACACAATTTAATGATTATACTGTATATAAAGCATTCTTTTCCGTATCTTAATTAAAATCAAATGTATAGTATATTTTATACTATACATTTATTTTTATCTTTGTTCCGTAATTTTTCATACAGGTCTAGAAGTTCTTTTTCCTCTTTAACAGGCAAATAATTCCATTTAACTGATGGGGATGGTCCTGCTATGCTGTGATTGCTAACAGAAGGAAACACTAAACCTTTTTCTAAATTGATTAGGCAAGTGTTTAACTTTTTCAAATCATATTGAATACTGACAAGCAACTCTAAACTCTTCTTCTCAAATGCTGCAATAAAAAAATAATTCTGACTTTAATAAATACCAATTAAATAGATTAGCTTTTTATTAAAGTTAACGCAAAAAACTAGTATAATTAAAAAAAAATAGTATAATTACATTCAAAAATATATTAAAGAGTACATTTAATTAAACCTTCAAACAAATAACCCATCAAGGTAATCCTTTACCAGGAAATCGGGTGCCTAAAGCAGCCACAACAGCTGCCAAGCTCTGATCAGAAGAGGAAAATATCAGTAGAGAACGATTCAAACTAAATGACTCAATATATCGAACAGTTGTGGGTTGTAAAATATTTTGGCAATTAAAAGATTTCTTCAATCTTGGGAAAACTGATGGATATGTCTCCTCAGTGTCAATTGTATTACAAACTGCTAACTTTTTAGCTGGTGGCATGGACAATTTCTCATCGCTATCAGCAACTGTTTCAACGCTTGATGTGAACTCTAACATTTCCATTTGTTCTACAGCAGTTTCATAACTGCATAAAAAATTTAAAGAAAAAATAAATATAGCTGTTCAGATCATTAGCATCTAGCATGTGTGTAACATAAAATTAAACAAGGAATAAAAACATAATAACGACACTTACCAAAATAATAAAGAACTCTTATTTTTAGCTGTTTCCAGTTACTTACAGGAGTAAGTGTTACTTCGCGTATGGCAGTTAAAAGGCGAAATGATCGCAAGTGATTTGGCCAACACACTAAACTTTCATTGATCAGCCATGACAAACAGATAACGTCCATGGCACACATGCTTTTTTTTTTTTTCATTAAGAAATTCAACTACAGCAAATTTTTTAAACTTTGCTTCCATCTTCATTTTTACTGTACAACATGTGTATAAAAAAAAACATAAACAAATTTGAAAAAATAAAAAAAATTAACAAGCGTAAAAAAAAAAAAAAAGTTTTTAGTTTAGTGGTTCCACACTTGTGTGTAGTGAGTGACTGGGGCCCCAGCCCCAGCCAAATTTGGGTCTTTTTACAACCCCAGCCACAGCTAAATAATAGTTTTAGCAGGAGTTATATGATGAGGCTAAGAATTTTTTTTTATGCTATTTTATTTTTTAAGCTATAAAAGTTAAATAATATTCATAAAAAAATCTATAAAAAGCTATAAAAGTTATAAAAAAGCTATAAAAAAAGTTAAAAAAAAGCTATAAAAGAAGTTAAAAAAAGCTATAAAAGTTAAATAATATCTATAAAAATATCTATAAAAAGCTATAAAAGTTAAATAATCTGTTATGAAAGGTAAAAAATATAGCAAAATCACAAATAATATATAAAAATATATATAGATTCAGGATCCCATACATTGTAATAGTTTAAATTAGGTGGTACAAAGTCTTCAGGAGCCCCACATAAATATGTAGTATATGAAAGTGCTCTTAAATTGTATTTTAAAAAAAGAAGTGTTTTAAGATTTTTTGTTTTGAGTCTAATACGTTCTTGTTGTATTGATTTCAAAACTTTAAACTCACATTCACTTGTAGTTGGGCTTGGAAGTGAATTTATATATTTTTATATTTATATTTAATTATAAATATAAAATAATATAAAATTTAATAATAAATAACATTTTAGAAAGAATTTAAAATCAAAAGTTGTTTATTTAAAATAAAAATAATTATTCTAATATAAAAAAGAATAGCCTTTATAAAACTATTACAGTTTTAAATTTTGTTATAACTTTAGTATTACTTTTACATGATTATTTAATATTATCATTTTTATTACTATTATTATTACTATTTTATATTATTATTGTTATTATTATTTCAATCAGCCAAATAATCATAAGAATTTTTATATAAACATATTATGATTAATAACTCATCACTGAAGTTTATTGCAGTTTCGCAGTTAAGTAATTCATTTGTATTTTTAGCATCACTTATTGAGTGAATTTCATTTAAATGTTGCTTCACTAATCTTTTAATATAATGTGATTTAGCAGATCAAGTTGAAGTTATTGATTTTTTCATTACCTATAACATTGTATTACACTTATACATTTAATAACTTATTTAAAATTTATTCATTTGCAAACTTATTAAATGGTAAATCATATGACGTATTTGTTACTTAATTGAATACCTTTAACAAAACAAATATATATACAAATCTTGCAGATGCATTTAACTCAAATTGTTTTTATATAAAAGTAAACTTACTATTTCAACCTTTATCTTAAAATACAGAAATTTTTTTCCACTTCTTCTCGTGATACAATCTGTTTCTAAATGAACTACAACCACTTCTTCTCGTGATACAATCTCTAAATTTTCAATTAAAAGGATTTCTTCACTTTTACTACTTTTTCTCGTGATACAATCTGTTTTTAAATAAAAAACAACCACTTCTTCTCATGATTTAATCTGTAAATGTTGTATTAGAAATACTGTGAACATCAAAGGACAAAACTATAGTTTTGTCCTTTGATGTTCACAGTACTTCTTTATAAAAGACATTATGAACAAGCGATAATGTTACGCAAGCGTACCAATATGTAAAAATGTCAATATTGGCCAATATTTGAGTAATGAAAACAAAATAATATTGGGCCAATATGGGCAAACAATATTGCACCAATATTCGCATATCAATATTGGGCAATATTGGCATGTCAATATTGCGCCAATATTATATTCCAATATTAGGAAAATAATATTTGCGTAATATTGGTATGATAATATTGGCCAATATTGAAATGCCAATATTGGCGCAATATTGTTTGCCAATATTGGCGCAATATTGCATATCTTGGCCAATCTAGGCCAAGATACCCAATATCGCGCCAATATTGCGCCAATATTGTTTGCTACTTGGGTTAGTTAATTTTGTACAAACCCCTTTTAAATAGCCTGGGGTAGAAGTGAGTGAACTGTATGAGATCAAAAGCATCTAACAAATTTCTAATTGCTATATGTTAGGCCTATTGTGTTTTTTTTCAATTTCAAGTATGTGCGTTTTTAAAATACTACCAGTTAACAAAAATAATAGTAATAAAAATGCGCCAAATCGGTATAGATAAAAAACCTATTATTTGTAATGACGTGATTATATGGTTAATAAAAATTTTCAACTTTGAAAGAGTGGCGTGCGTGTGAATATCCATCCAAAATAAAAAAAATTTCATAAGAAAACTTCCTTAGGACTTCCTTGGGAATATTTTATGAGACTCTGCCTGTAAAAATATGTTCATGAAGGTCAAAATGGGATGGTAGCAGGAAAAATCCCACCTGGAAAAAATCCCTCTGAGAAAAATTCCCCCGGAAAAAATCCCCCCGAGAAAAAATCCTCAGGAAAATATCCCCCCCCCCCCCACAAAAAAAAAAAAAAAAAAAAAAAAATTTTTTTTTCAATTAAAAATTATCAATAAAATAGTTACATTCATTTGTTTTAATTTGTTTTATAAAATACTTAATGTTTATTGTTTGGATTTATCTTAAATTTTGTTTCAAAGTTTTTCGGTGTGAGATTTTTTAAATGACAATACATAAAGATCAAAGTGTTTAAATGTATTTATCTCGTATACATTCATCATCTTTATTTCCCTCATTAATGACTTAGCATGTTTTTGTACAATTTTGCATCTACAATTTTGCAAGCATGTTTTTGTACACTAAATATCCTTTTAAATTTAGAGAGTTGTGGTCTTGCCCAGGCAATATTACCATAATTAATATAGCTATGAATTCGGCTGAAGTATATTATTTTAAGACTTTGAGTATTAATTAAAGGACTAAATCTATACATTATACCAAAAGTTTTTTTAATTTTTGATTCAATATATAACAATATATATGAGTTAGATTTATGGAATGAGTTAGATTAATGGGAATTATTTTTGAAAAGCTTCCTTTAACTGTTGCTCTAAATATTGTGTATATATATATATATATATATATATATATATATATATATATATATATATATATATATATATATATATATATATATATATATATATATATATATATATATATATATATATATATATATATATATATATATATATATACACAATATTTAGAGCAACAATTAAAGTAAGTTTTTCAAAAATAATTCCCATAAATCTAACTCAGCATGTATCGAAGTAAAATGAGGCATATCAGATGAATAGAAATTTAAAAATTCATGAAAATCAAATTTCCTTTTTGAACTTGGCATGCAGCTGCTACAACAAAACTAAGTCTATGGCTTGCACAATGAACAAAAAAAAGCATTAATTAAGAGATTTTATTCAAGAAGCAACTCTTTTATATTCACCTGCCATAAATCCTTCGCCATCATTCTTTTGGTCTATACAGTTTTGAGTATCAAGTTCAAAAAGTGTCTTGAAGTGTATTAAGTCTTGCAATCAATAAATGTTAAATAATTCTCGCAAATCTAATTATTTGAATTTACATGTCTTAAAACAAGTGACATTTGTTCAGTATTTGAACAGTCAACTGTTTTATCACAAAGAATCGAAAAAAAAAAAATATTGAATGATTACATTTTTTATTAAAACTTAATTGTTTTCCCACATCAATAAGTTGGTTTTAGGTAGTTTTTGATATATAGGTTGCATTTTTTTAACTTGAAAAAAGATGATTAGCTAATATTTGATTACCAGCATTAACACGAAATTTTAAAAAAACCAAGTTATCTTTTCCAACCTTTTGTGTAGAATATTCCCTAATATTACGATGATATTTGGTATTATCGCAATGTTCACGAAATATTAGATCATTTTTGCCAAGAAATATTATTGTTTTAATTGTTAGAACTAACTTTTTTCAGTTATCAGAAGTTTCTATTGAGAATTATTTAAATCAACCTCAATATCATTATTTTGGAGTAGCAAAGTGAACGTTATGCATTAAATGAAGGCATAGACCTTTTATATGAAACACAACTTTTCTCGTGTTTTTAAAATGACGAACAGCATTACTCCATTCATACTAATACCTAGTAAAAGACAAGGAAAACAATAAGCTCCATCATCTTTGCTAGAATAATAAGCTAACCAAGAAAAGTGGCTGAGCTATTGAATTTTAAGTTATTTTTTTGTATTAACAGATATTGGAAAAACAAAAACAGAACTAAATACTTTGTCTACCATATCTAACAAAATTGCATTGTCTTTGCCAGCGGTTAAATGTTTACTTTGGGTTATATATGTTGAAGCATTATATAAAGTATTTAAGTATATAAAGGTATAATAACTGAGTAGGAACCTAATCATTGAAATATTTTAGAATCTACAGAAAGTTCAAAAGGTAACTTTATAAAAGTGTTTTATAGAGTATATATCTACAGAAAGCTCAAATTATAACTCTATAAAAGTCTTTTTCAAAGTTAATTTTAGATGGAGTTTTGACATGTTTTGCAGAACTAACTTTTTCTGTAAGGGGTTGAAAAAAAGTATATAAAACAAGATCAGTTTGTATCCATTTTCTAGCTGGAAATATATAACACCATTAATTTTAGTAATAGAGTTTTACCTTAGAGCAACATAATCATTACTATCTTCTTGCTTCGGGATAAAACAATTCATTTCAGACTTTTTAATAGACTAACTATTTGGCTGCACTGGACACTTGTTTTTTAATTTAAAATTTTCAACTCTTCAGTTAACTGATTTTTATATTTGCGAATATTTAGCAAATATCTAGCCTTAATTGCATTTGAGACTAATAAATTCATCTTTTTTTCAAAACTTTGATTTACTAGTAAAATCCTGCAACAAAAATTACAAGCAAATTACGTATATCAGGTGGAATATCGGATTTTGTATATTTTGAACTATTTGGAACAACTGATGCAATTGTTCTAAAATTTCTTCAAAATTGATTGGTTAAGGTTATATAGTTATTAAAAACATTTTAAATGTTTTTTGAAACATTTTTTTATTTTTTTGCATTTTGTATTTATTTAATGAAGATTAATGACATCAGTTGCTCCAAAATGCAGAAAATTTTGTCTGAGTAACAAATAAGTAACTATAGCGATCAAATAAAATCGAGGTTAGATTTGATTATTTTTTTCGAGTTTATAACAAATTTGACATTTTTTGTAAATTTAGATTCTAATTTCTACTTTAGCTTTTTATTATGAAGAAAAAAGTGAAAAAGAGGTTAAATTTGAGAGACTTAAACTTAGCAGTGCAAAAAGATTGATGTACGCGCATCAGTGGCGACACCAAAGATCCGCCCCTGTGTAATGTATTGATATCATTACAATTCATGATACTAACTAAATAATGATATCATTATATTGTGATGCAATGATATCATTAATTGTAATGTAATGATATCATTACATTGTAATGTTATGGTATCATTACATTGCTATGAAACAATATCATTACATTGTAATGTTATGATATCATTACATTGTAATAAAATGATATTATTACATATTATGATATTAACTAATGTTATCATTACAATATTGGAATATTCATCTAATGTAATGTAATGATATTATTACATATCATGATATTAACTAATGATATCATTACATTACATTAGATAAATATTCCAATATTGGTTTTAAAGATGATTTGTTTGTTTATGGATTAATTGTTACCGTAACAGTTTGTGTTTTTAAAAAAGATAAATCGCTGCGAGTAGGGTTCGAACCTACGCGGGAAGATCCCATTAGATTTCAAGTCTAACGCCTTAACCACTCGGCCATCGCAGCCTAGAGAAAGAGAGGAAAGTGTAGATTTTATTAAACTTTTTTAGTTAACTTGAATAAATTTACTAACTTTTTTAATAAACTTTAATAAATTTTATTAAATTTTATCTAACTTGCGGAGTTTTATTGGACAAAAAATGAAGCCGCTTTTTTTGTTTATAACAATAGTCCGCCATTTGTAAAAAGGGCAAAAGCTGAAGCCAAAGTGTGGAACAAAAGTTAACAATATCAAAAAATTAAAGATAATTCAAAAAAAAATTTAGAATTACAAAATATTTATAAAAGTTTTTTTCACGAGCCTATGTTTAGTAAAAAGTATTTTAATTCATAAAAATGCTTTAAAAGCGTCTGACGTTTTACTTTTCTATTTAAAATCTTTATCCCTTTTTAATCGAAAATAAATTATGGAACCATAAGTTATTATTTTACAAGTTTTTTAATTTCCGCTTTTACGTAAAAAGTAATTTTATAATTTTACACTTTTACGTAAATAGTATTTAAATAGAAAAAATATTTACTCTTCATTTAAGAAAAGAAAATTTCAAAATATTTATTTACAAATTTAATCCGCCATTTGTAAAAAGGGCAAAACCAGTTTCACCTTTCTGATCGAAGTTAGACATCTAGTTATATAATAAACCATTGATAAAAAGTTTTGATTTAAAATATTTAAAAATATTTTATAAAGTTTACACTTTCTTCACCTAGGTATGCCGAAATCCACTTTTTTACAAAACCGATATTTGTGCTAAAATTTTATTCCACGTTTTTAAAACTTTACGTTTCGCTGGCACCAGCGAAACATACCATGGTATGGTAGGATGGTATATAATTTTTAAGAATTTTATATTAAAAATTTATTATTTTATATTAGAGCATTTATAAAAAGTAGAATAGTTAAATTTTTCTAAGTGTCTTTTTTTTTCTTTTTTACAAATTTTAGTAGCAAGTTTTGTATGAGTTGTCATAAAACCATTAACCCCCCCCCCTACCTTAGAGCGTGACGTAATTTATGGACAACTCCTTAGGTGCATATAGTGAGCTTAGTTGAAGATATGTTGTTCTTTTTCCTATTCTTTTCTTTTCCTTTTTTTTTTTTAAGTTTATACATTTTCTATAAGCATACTAAATACCAATGTTTTATTTTGACTAGCAATTGCCCTATTTTTACCTTCACTTTTGGTACTTAAATTTAATTTTTATTTAACACGGTTTTTTGGACCGGTTTTTGGGAGATAGAGGGGAAATATATTCACAAACTTATTTTATAACTTTTATATAATAAGTAAGTGAAAAATTATTTATATAAGATAAAACATTAATATCTTTTGAAATACTATTACTAGTACACCATGATAAGAAAGTATTAGTCAATCTATATATGGATTGTCAATATCCCGGATTAATAGTTCTTGGGGCCCTGGACGGGTTATGTTTTGGGGCCCTTTTTATAACTAAAGTTTTCTGTTTTTATGACATTTTATATTGGGACTGAGAATGCGTGAAAAAGACAACTATGTAACGCATGATATAAAAATAATAAGTATATTTTTATTTCCATTTTTAGTTAATTCTTCCGACAATTTCAAAAAATGCTGAACTTTTTTTATATATTGGGGTCCCTATAATCGCGGGGCCCTTGTTTTTGCGACAGCCTGAACAGTAAAATATGCATAACCTAGTTGTTATGCATATTTATCTGTTTTAATAATCTTAAATTTTTACCTGTTAGATAAAACTTCACATTAAAATTGCTACTTTTATTAAAATTTTCAAACTGTGTATTGCCTTTAAAGCTAACAAGAAGTTATTTAGTACTATAAGTAAAAATATCTAAAAAAATATGTCTAATAATCTCTATAACAATTTGAATTTGAAATCTTAAATAAAAATTAATATTTCAAATAAAATAAGAAATTTAAAAGTTACATTTATTTTTACAAGTTATTTTTACAAAAAAATGCCTCTACGTGTTTGCCAGTTGTTTTTTTAGCGGAAACATTTTCAAAAAATAGTTATTTTATGTTCTCGAATCCAGTGTTATATAAATATTACAGTAAAACTTGCACTGTCGTTTAGATATTACTAAAAAGCGCTATGTTTAGGTACGCATGCGTAAGAAAATACAGAAAACTTTTGAACTTTTAAAATGGCTAGGGTTCTTAACTACAGAGAATATTCTATATAGCAACAGTTTATTTATTAATTAGATTCAGAAAATCCAAGGATGTAGCCTTATTTTTAACGTTAATTAATATAATAATACAAACATTTCATAAAATTATAAATAAAAAGAGGTAATAAAAATCTTAGCGCGCTTAAACTTTATTTTTATTTAATACCTCTTTAGTGTAATTCATAGATTTGTTTTTTTATTTGAAATGAATTTTTTAAAAGTCTGACTGTAGGATTTCAAAATTTTTTTTTCAAACTTCAGATAAATATGTTCTATATGTATGATATGTTCTATATGTATGATATGTTCTATATGTATGATATATATATATATATATATATATATATATATATATATATATATATATATATATATATATATATATATATATATATATATATATATATATATATATATATTTATATACATATATATATATATATATATATATATATATATATATATATATATATATCCCGTACGAAAATTTCCCATGGGAATTTTAGAAAAAAAACCCATGAAAAAACCATGGGTATTTGGAACACGTTCCCATAAAAAAACCATGAGTTTTCCATGGAAAAACCATGAGTTTTCATGGGAAACACATGAATTTCCCATGAAAAATCTTTAAGATTTTCATGGAAAAGTGTTTCAAATACCATGGATATTGATATTCCATCCATGGAAAAACCATGGAATTTCCATAGGTATTAGGAACACCTTTCCAAGGAAAACTTATGGATTTTTCATGGTAAAAAAGCATGATTTGTTTTCAAGTTTTTTTATCTAATGTTATTTGAATTGTCATATTAAATCATAAAAGCAAATTTTATCCCACTATTATTGAGCTCTCTTAATCTATGAGATCGCTTTCTCTAAATAAAATCAATAAACAAAATAAAAGTTAAATCTTGTTAAATCCTACAAATCATTGAAAAATAATAGCTATAATGCACCTAAAACATTAAAACTTGACTTCCCCACAATATTTAATGCATACATATGTATAACATACTGAAAATAAATAAAACAAAAAATTACAAGTAATATAATACTATAAGTGATATATATAGTGATAAACAATTGAAATTTATCAAGAAATTTTTTACAGAACAATCAAGAATTTTTTACAATTTTTACAGAAAATAAAACAATTTACATGTTTATTATGTTATATTAACTATTTGATAAAAATAGTATATATAAATTTGATAATAACTTCAAGTTTTAACAAGTTAAAAATAACCATCAATACAACATATTTAATTCAAAAAAACATCAAGCCCATTTATAAATGCGTCTGTACTGTATCTGTAGAAACAGGTAGATGTTAAACAAAGTAACATTCACATATTAATATTCATTTTTTTTCACCCTAGTTAGTCTCATTCTCCATTTCACCAATCTAGACAATACATCATACAACTATTATATACATTCTAAATAGTTTTCTTTATTTACTAATTCATTTTACTTATAATTATTATCTATTATAACTTACTTTATAATTAGGCATTATACACAATTATGAATGTTGCCAAATGTTAGGTAACATTTATATAGAAAAAAGTAGCAATGAATATATCATTATTTATAAATAAAAATTATTAGATTGTTACCTCTTTTTTGCCTAAGTTATCTGCATTATGTACAACATCGTTTATATTTCCAGTCAAACATTCCTGCCTATAATGTAACTTTATTAAAATGGTTTATTCAAACTAATACATATATAAATGTTACCTGCATGTTAGAAACATTTATATAGAACAAGGCAGCAACAAATATTATATTATACATTTACTTTTGTAATTAAAAAAAAACTTACTTCTTCTTCTGAGCTATCTGCATGATGTACAACATCATTTACAAACCTGTTTTCTTCACGTCCTTCCATTTTTTAATATATTATAAAGCACAGGACTTGTTAATGAACGGCTAAATAAATAAATTAAAAATTTATATTTAAATGAAATGATAAGGTTAAAATGAAAAGATTTATACACATATATAAATTTTACCTGCATGTTAGTAACATTTATATAGAATAAGGCAGCAACAAATATAGTATAACTTATAAATTGTAATTTTAAGTAAAAACTTACTTCTTTGTCTGAGCTGTCTGCATGATGTAGAACATTATTTATATTGTCAGTCAAACTTACCTGCTTATAATGCAGTAATTTAAATAAAATGATAAAGTTAAAATAAAAGAACTTACGCACATACCATTAAATTCAAAATTTTATTATATTTTTACTTCACTATTTAAAACATAACAAATATGTAATTTATAAAGTATAGTAATGTAAAAGCATAGTAAATACCAAAGTGTGTGCATAAATTAATTTATTTTAACTAAAGACGAGCACTTTACATCAGTTAAATATAAACAAATAAAAATAATTGTATTATAATAAATAATAGTGTATTATTTATAAACATTGCTTTTGTATGCTTATATTTAACTATGAAGTAAAATCTTGTGCATTAAGTAAATTCCCTTACTGATACTTATAAAATATTACCACAGTTTTCCTTCTCCAACTAAGTGGTTCTTGGAACATCCTTTCAAGTTGAATCCCAAAGATTACGTTTATATCTTTTCTGGTTTAAACTCAATTCACCATTTTATTTTGACAGCTTTTGAACTATTTTTAAAAATATTAAATGCATATAAAAACTGACGATGTTATAAACAATATAAACGATGAACAACCTTATTTATATTGACAGTCAAACCTGTTGGCTTATAATGTAGTAATTTAAATAAAATAATAAAGTAAATATAAAAGAATTTATAAACATTATTTATATTACATTATTTACATATTCTAATAATTCTAAAGAAAAAACAATAACAAAAAGACAAAAACAACTTAACAGAACTAAAATTGAATAGAACATTTATCATAAAAAAATGTTTTTTAATACTTAATGAACATTTACTATACAATAAACTTCAAGCATTTTTATGTAATCTAAGGCTATTATAAAAAAAAATAAAAAAGATCATACTAGTTATCTTTTGTACATTAGTTATCTAATCTTATTATTTTAGTTATTTAATCTTATCTAATATACTGCTTGTATATTATTATTTTAGATAAGTTTCTTTAACATGTTCGATAAGTTTTATAATAATAATTATACTAGTTTGAATGTACATTAATACACTAGTTATTTAATGTAGATTAAAACTAAACATTTACTTGTTGTAAACCAAATAATAATTATTTGGCAAATAATTTGCCAAGTAGGCATTAAAATTCAAACTGGTTTACTTGACATACTTGCTATACTATTGCAAGTTATGCAAAGTAAGCAAAGCTACTGAAACAATTAAAATAAGTATATGCATAAATGATATATAATTAAATATAATTAAAAATAATCCATTTTATAATGCATTATAATATGATAAATATATCTAGTTGTTTATGTCTGTATGTTTAGTTTAAATCATATAAATGTAATGCATTATGAAAAACATATAATTCATAGTCTTATTAAACACAGAAAAACAGAAGAATGCAGTTAGTATTGTTTTCTAAAGTTAAAAATAATCATAACTCTACGAGCTATGACGCCATCTTTAAAAGCGCATTTGTAACAACCATGGCACAGCTTAAGCTATGAAAAAAAAACATGGTTCACCCATGGAAATTCCATGGGATTTCAATTTTCATGAAATTTACCCATGGAAATTCCATGGAATTCCCGTTTTCCATGGGAAAACCATGGTTTACTCATGGAATTCCATAAGTTTTCCATGGAATATTTCCGTAAGGGATATATATATTTATATATATATATATATATATATATATATATATATATATATATATATATATATATATATATATATATATATATATATGTATATATATATGTATGTATATATATATATATATATATATATATATATATATATATATATATATATATATATATATATATATATATATATATATATATATATATATATATATATATATATATATGTATATATATATATATATATATATATATATATATATATATATGTATATGTATGTATATATATATATATATATATATATATATATATATATATATATATATATATATATATATATATATATGTATATATGTATATATATACATACATACATACATATATGTATATATATATATATATATATATATATATATATATATGTATAGATATATATATATACATATATATATGTATATATGTATATATATATATATATATATATATATATATTTATATATATATGTATATATATATATATATATATATATATATATATATATATATATATATATATATATATATATATATATATATATATATATACTGAAAACCGTGTGAAAAAATGTTTTACACTTTAAGTAAATAAAACTTATAAAAACATTTAAAATAAAGAATATATACTTTGTCAATGAAATATGACCTCTTTTTTGCGCCTCAGTATTACAGGCTCAAAAAAAAAATTGTATCAAAAAGCTATGAAAGTGAAAGTTATTGTACTTGTTAATTTATAATAAGTCAAATTTAAAAAATGGCTGATGTTACCAGGCAATATCGACACTGGTTATTAACCTATAATAATCCGATATTCACTGCACAAGATTTGATACATGCATTTGAAATGTTTTCGTTTAAATATGTATTTCAAATGGAACGTGGTGAAGAAGGTACATTACATTTTCAAATCTATATTCGTACCGAACGAATGTATATGAGAGCCTTAATACGTTTATTTGAGGAAAACATAGGTTTTCATCACATAGGTTTTCTCCCAAAAGCGGCGAGAAGATGGAAGCAATTGTTGCAATATTGTTGCAAACCTAAAAGTCTTGTTAGTGAAACATATTACACTAATATACAAGAGGAAACTAGTCCACCTAAAGTAAGTAAAATGACATTGATTAAAAAGGCGATAGAGCAGGGTAGTACAGTTGAACAAAATATGAATAATGATGAATACTTCGCAACCTGGTGTACACACTATCGAGCCTTTAATATGTTTTATGCAAATCGGCAAAAGTCGCGTGATTTTCTACTTTTATGGATTACCAGGTAGTGGCAAAAGTAGATTAGCAAATCATGTATATAAAGCGTTGTTCCCTAATAAAGAGGCATATTACAAAAATAAGGGTAAGTGGTGGGATGTATTCGCCAATAATGATGTTGTTGATTGGGATGATTTCCGTGGTGATTGTTATGAAATACAAGAGTTATTGAAGTTGTGTGATCGTTATCAATATCGCGTACAGATAAAGGGAGGGTTTTATGAATTTTACAAGTAAAGTGATATTTCTAACATCTAATAAAAAGAGTTGGGAGTTATATCAAGGTGATAAAGGAATACCATTGCAAAGGCGTATTGAGTATAATATGTTAATATGGGAATTTAATGGTGAAAACATCCGCTATTTAGATATGGATTATATTACTATGAGTGATTGGCTTATTTATCCTAATAAATGATCATTGGGAAGAAATAAACATTAATAATTTCATAGATAATATTAAAAATTTGTATTTTAATGAAAATAATTAAAGTATTGTATGTACAGGTATATTAAAATCTTTAAGTTGCAAATAAAATGTTCTTTCTATTTTCCAACCTTCTGTCCCGTCTATTTGAGGGTCGTACCAAATCGTTATAGGTAAATAAGTACATAGGGCTGTGTTGAAGTACGTGTCGCAAGGGAACCATTGATATCTCTGTTTATCGCTATTTAGTACCCCTTTGAAATCAATTGTTTTTTCACTGTTGTATATAGGTACTAATTCAAAAGGTGGGAATTTTTGTAGTAAATCTAAAGGTTTTGTACCGTACATCATTTTATGTCTCACATGCGGTAGGTTTGTAAATTCAATAAATGTAGCAGCAGCAGAAAGAGGATCCTTATATATGTTGTTGAAACCTCTATTAACTCTTGCTTCCTCAATAGATTTTGATACATTCCAAGCTATCACTTTAGGTGGAACCGCAGCACCGTTTGTATGTGGTTGCCATGTTGGACCAACCTTTCTGTATATTTTAAAGCGTATTGCTTTTAATCTAACGTATTTATATAATTTAGACATATTTAAAGTGTTATATCCTTTTAAAGCTGTGTCATTGAAAAAAATCATATTTTAGTTAGGTTAAATTTTGTTTTCCGTTGATTATTATAATTAACGGTAAACTAAAATGTAACTATAAGAAAATTGTAACCTCATCCAAACTCCGACATTTGGTATAAATTGAATAGTTATCATGGCGAGCCAAGTGAACAAACTTAAAATAACTATAGTTATTTTTTGAAACCCCTATTAGATTTTTTGAAATCACTTTTTAAATTTTATCCAAAGAAAAACAATTTTGATCTAAACGTTAAAATTAATTAACACAAGTTTAATTTTAGAAATAATAGACCTTGTCACTGGCAACAACACAAAAACTGCTTTGTTCATTTTGCCTGGCATCAATCAAGGTTCGTTAGTGGGTGTGACTTTAAAAGTATATTTATCAAAGAAAATCAAAACATAAAAGCAATGCTCTCCATGCAGCCTGCACAGAATCATAAGCTTTAAAAATCAATGTCAAAAATGTTATAAGCATTTATACGCGCCGACATGATGAAGAGGTTAAAGAGAATCGTTTAATTTTAGAAAAAATCATAAAAACTTTGAAAGTTTTTGATAAGCGTGGAATTAGCTACAAAGGTGCAGAAGAGTCTGCGTTCAGATTGTTTGATGACGGTATAAATTTGGAGAATTTTTTGTATATTATTT